TCGCCTTTATTATGCATTATCTTTAATCTTTTTAGTACCTAGAGATATGCTAAATATGTATTTTTTGAAAGGAATTATGAATTTGTAGTGTGCGCGTGATTTATTAGGCCAAATTCATAATAATATTGTTCTTGCCACTCGACATATGCGCAGAATCATTTTTGTGATATATATGCTAAGTATTCAGATTTGTATTATCAATAGGAAAATATGCATTATCAGGTCATGTGCATGAATACATATATATAAATGCGCATCGGCGCCTATCTTTAATTCAAGGAACGGGATAATAAAGCCAATTGTAATTTCATCTAATATGTATCTGACTTTTATAATTGAATAAAGTAAGAATCGAATTCCGTATCGGTAAATTAAGGACCAGTCCGGACCCAGTCCTTAATTTTAGACTAAAAGATTACTTAACCGGTTCAAAAGACCGGTCCGGACCATGGTCCCTATAGGACCGTAACATCCCTAATGTAGCTGCTTCACACAAGTAGATTTTAATAGTCACAATGCTCGATTAGTTTAAAACAATTGTTTAAAAGCTGAGAGTTTCTCATATGACTAATGTTTTTTTTTTTTTTTTTTTATGCTATCTATGAATTAATTGTTATATTTAAAACTATACTATGGAATAATAATAACCTATATTATTATAATTGTTTATTTCTATATAATTATGGGCTGTGCACAAACCCAATTAGAAATAAATCAGTTTGTTCTAAATTTTTGGTTCAGGATTTGATATAGTAAGAGGTGACTATAGTTAAACAAATTTCAAATTTGCTACCAAGAATACATAAAAAATGATATTTGAAAAAATTATTAGTAATGTTTGAATAGTAATAAATTTCAATAAAACTTGGATTTCAACAAACTTACCTTTGTCATTTCAATTGATTGCTTTGCAAGATCTTGCTAATGCTTTTTTGCATATTCTGATATTCAATTTGCTATAGTTGTTAATTTTGAAATCTTTTCATCTTCTAATGTTCCCTTATGCACTATTGAATATAACTCGTTCAACATATCTTTAGCTATATATCTATCACTTTTATCTGCATTTCCCACAAGAAAAAAAGCTTCAAGCAAAGGAACTACATTCTTGCTAATACATTTTACTTTTCCTTTTATACTGAATTTTTGACTTTCTTTTAAAGCCCAGCCCGCCGGTAATAAAAAAATACTGCCCGAACTGTAAATAATAGTCATGTATTACGTTATATTACTTTACATTACTTAATATATTACAAATTCCTACCTGTTTAGTTTGTTTATATTATGTAAATTTGTAGTATCTATCCGTTTATCTATAACAGATAATAAACTTATTAGCTTAAAAAATTATATACCACTAATATAAGTAGTAAATCTCATAATATAGAGATATACAAAATTTATATATCATACTAGGAAATAACCAATGAGTTGCCTAAAATTTATTCAATACTTATGTCTATACAGAATAATTTCTAATTACCTAAATTATTCGTATTTACTAATATTTCTTGAGTCATTTTTTCTTGTAATATATTAACCAACTTATTTCTTTTGAATTCTTTAAAATTAATTTTTCGTTTTTCTAATTCTATTTCAAGCTTATCTTTAGTTAATCGCATGAGTTTATCTCTGATAAAAATAAGCTTATTAGAATGAATATAAATTTTGATTATATCGAATATACTAACTTGATATATGTGGCAAAGGTATGTACCATTCTGTTTCTGATATGAAATGATCTAAAAATTGAGGATGAAGTTTAGTAATCTTGGTCTTATAGAGTTTTGATAATTGTACAGGGGAAAATTTTTTCTAGTCTCCTATGTTAGGAATGGAGCATGCCAAAATATAGCCAGCAAATTCCTTTTCAATTGGCCAATGCCATTTAAACCAGTTAGAATTGCTAGGTAATGAAAATTTTTTCTTGCTTGTTCCTATTTTCAAAAAATAAAATTCAAATTATAAAATATTATTTTGAGATTATCTACATATATATTTTACACATCTTTGGTTCTATTTGGTTCTAAATATGTTACTTGAATACTACTAATACCTTGAATTGCATTTTCTATATCTGTTATTTGAAAAAGATCGAAGCCAAGTTTTATATAATGGTTGATAGCATGGGATATCTATAAAAATAAGTTAAAAATTCAGTATAAAAGGAAAAGTAAAATGTATTAGCAAGAATGTAGTTCCTT